TGACAAAAGAAAACAAAGGATGGGAGAGAGCTCAATATTGGTGTTTGCCAAAAATCAATACATTATAAATTAGAAGGTTGTTTGCATTAGAGGTATGTACACAGGTAAATTTAATTGAAAATGTCACAGGTGTATGTAGAGGGATACAATTACAGTATGTGGGCTTAGGAAAAGAATAGAGAAAGAGAGAGAGAGAGAGAGAGAGGGGGGTGAGGAGAGAGAGAGAGAGGGGGTGAGGAGGAGAGAGAGAGAGGGAGAGAGAGAGAGGGGTGAGGAGGAGGAGGAGGAGAGAGAGAGAGAGAGAGAGAGGGGGGGGGGGTGATGAAGAGGGGGCAGGGAGTGAGAAAGGGAACAAGCAAAGAAGGAGATAATGAAATCCTAACCATATTTCATCCACCTTGGATGACTGGTAGGCTTTCTCCTCCCCCACCTCCCACCTCACCCCATCCCACCACCTCACCCTATCCCACCCCACCCCACCATGACCCCTTTATGGTTGGACCCATCCATGCTAGCATTGCTACAATGTATTCCACAAGTATGTTATTGAGAACAAGAATATAATTGTGCAGAATGTGAAATAGGGAGAATTATCCTGGACTGGCTGTACCTCTTCAAGCAGGTAATAAAGATATAAAAGAGAGAAAACAATTGAAGTGAGTAGAATACTGATAAAAATAAAACATTTCTTTTGTTGTTTTTGTTGCGAGAACTGCTAATATGAAGCATTCTCCAATGGCAAGTGATTTTACTCTTTCTGCATGCTTTCTTTATTCCCAGACTTAGGTCGATAATTTGCATATATAGTAACCAATATGAATGGTGTTACCAATTATTAAAGTCTCAGTTCACAGCACAGATGGCCCAATCTAGACTAGAGCTCACAGCCAGACGGCTGGCCACCACAGCTCCCAACCAATATCAGCAATTAATATTAATGTGGACCGCTGCTCATTAGCATAATAGATGCCCAAGCTGCTGGTAATGCTGTGATAAATTATGCGGGCTGGCATGAATGAACGCACAAGGGTACACGCCCCCTCAGAGTCCGCTGTTTTCCCATTCACATGTCTGTGGTGTATAGACGTAGTACTCGGCAGCTCACAAAGCAGCGTGGCGTTTTACAATGAGTTGTGTACTGTCCATGCTTTGGCCAAGCTGTTCCATGCTGCTGTGTAGAAAGCCTTCTTTCTCTACATCTTCGCCTCTGAGCTGGTCTTTCTAGCGAAGAACCATGAATCATTTCTCTTTCCAGGAAAATGGAATGTTTGTGAAGGTCTACAGCTATCCTTTGCAGTGAGCTTGCTGTATAATTTGTCCATATTTGGTTCTTTGTTGTTTCTGATTATGATGTAGCTCCTCTATCACTCTCTCTTGCTCTCCCCCTCCCCCTCTCTCTCTCTCTGTCTCTCTCTCTTCCCCCACCCTAAAATTTCACCTTTGACATGCTATCTTTAAAGCCATGATCACTCATGTGCAGATTGAGACTATTCGTGTAGTCTGCTCAGTCTTTTAGATGATGTAGTATTGTATAGTATAGAACTTGACATCATGATGCATTATATATTATTACTATTTTTTTCCTGTTTTATATACTGAGGAATAGAATAACGAATGAGTATAACTTTCTCTTTATCAGTCCGAACAAGAAAAGATGCCTTCTGCCAGTTTATTTTTCATCAATTTTTTTATTGCCCCAAGCTTCTAACTTTGCCATTTTAGGATATATTCGAGAGGAAACATAGATATACCTATACATTGTAACTTGAAGATTTCCATAATTTGTATGAGTTTTGAAGTACATCTATAATTGAGTTTAAAAAGGGGAATTATCTTTTATTATTTTAAGAGGTATGGAACATGTAAGTTGAAACTTCAGGTCAAGTGTAAAGTATTGACAAGTCTGATAAATAGTACTTTGTTAGTTTATTTAATGCAGGACATTGAAATTGATATATGAACAAATAGATATATGTTTACCATGGCGTGGGTGTGGAATAGAGTCTCTTATCACTCTGAAAACAGGTTGATTGGCTGTTAAGTAGATCTTATTACCATACCAAATGATTTCCTGAATATTGTAGTTATTAAACTTTAATACTTGAGAAGTCTGGAAGAGATCATAATCTATTGATTAGTTTACAATCTGATTTAAAAAGGTGACAGTCAGATTAGAATAAGGATATTTCACATACAATTTTGCTATTATAATTATGTACACTGGAGTCAATTACAAAAATGTTTTGGGACAACAGAATATTATCATTGTGACTAAAGAAATAGAGATATAGAAGAAAATAATGTGCTATTGTGCTTCAAATGTTAATAATAATAGAACTTCATGAATGCCCTTTTCAAAATTCTTTTAATTTTTTGGGTCCCTTCTTTGTTTTCATGTAAACAGGGATCTATTACCGGTACTATAATGTTAACTTGGCTATTGATATATTCCTGCATAGACAATATCAATTTTGTACAGTTTTACTTATTTTTTTTACACCCTTGATTCTAATGTGATGGTGCTCGTTACAGTTGCCTAGAAATGTGTTCTATTTTTAGATTTCATTGAGCGGTTCTTGCCACTCTCTCTTTCTCTCCCAGATGGGTCGGTTCCTTATAATACATTCGCACACATCCATGTACAATACACGCTCGGCCACTAGTAATACACTTAGCGTCCCTCAAACCAGTAAACAAATGGGTGATGGGGCTTTTTCAGTTATGTACTGCTCCCAAAACCTGAAACGCCTTACCCCCTGTTCTAAAGAATTGCCATACTCTCACAGCTTGCAAGTCGTGTCTGAAAACACATCTTTTCTAATTACTTTTCTTTTGCTTTGTTTGTAAGAATTTTCTTTTTTATGCGCTTTGTATCTTATGAAAAGGCACTTTATAAATTGTAAATGAAACATTATTATAATTAATGTTATTACTATATATATATATATATATATATATATATATATATATATATATATGTATGTACTGGTACTGTACATGTAAGGAGCATTCAAGTTTACCCTTGTGGGTTGTGTGTGTGGATAGGGTGAAGAAGGTGAATTGCATTTTTAATCATTAAAGGCCTCTGCACAATTTCAAGAGAAGGTCATGGTGATTGTAATGGATTGTGAGGGGTGCAAAATCATAGGAATTACCAGTGATCTTTTCTAAAGAAAATTTAATTAAACAGAAAAGTTTTTCTTCACATTTTCTTGTACTTTAGAACGTGTGGATCCATGATTTTTATTTTTTGCAGAGGGGGTGCAATATTCCTAGGAAAAGAATGAAAAGAAGTAAAAAGAAAAGGGGAGGAAGGGGGGGGGGGTGTATTGTTGTGTACTGAGGGTATTCCACTTGGGGGAGGGGTGGTGGCAATAACTGGTTGAACCCAATCCACCAGTGTCAAATGTCAATAATAGTTTCTGCATAAGTATTCACTGACATTGTTTATACAACATCTAACATAAATAAATGATGATAACAATGATCCCATGATAAATTTCAATTTCCATAGCTGTTATTGAAGTTGTTCAGGAAAATCTGTATAGCGTTGCAACTGTTGCCCACCCGTTGGACCATTGAACGTGTGTGTGTGCACAAAATGGAATTCACATCTTGCTTCGTGTAAAACGTAAATACCAAGGGTCAAGCCCTGGGAATCCGGCAATCTGCAGCGTCCCTCGTTAGGTCCCTCGTTAGGTTACGGATCATTAAAGATATCACCATGAAGGACCCTGGGAGGAAGAAGAAAATAATGAGAAGAAAATGAAAAATGGTGCTATTTTTGGTTCTGTTTTATGGGATATGTTCTATGGTACACTGTAGATGTTCTACAGTGCAAACATTGACATTTTCTGTATGTTCTTCAGTAGTTGGGTAATAAGACCGGTTATAGTCCTTTTGCACTATAAATGTAAGCATACTAGTTGATCGATCCATACATGAGCATGTGTGATATACTGTACATTGTAACTCAAAGAGCTTGCCACAGGGGTCCATTTCCGAGACCAACTACTGTAATAGCATGCATGCAGGTAGTACATAATAATAATAATAGGCATTTCTATGGCGCCGTCTATCTAGAAATTCTATTACTGTATATATCTCAGTGCTCTTGTAGCAAAGGTCTCGGGACAAATTTTGTCACAGAAATCTGACAGTTCCCTTTGTAATCAAAATATAAACACAAAAATAAAAGAAGAAAAAAAAACAGTGACATTTGTATTGTGATATATCTCTTATTGTGTGATTGTTTACAATCAAGCTTAATGTATCACAAGCAAATGACTTTTGAGAATAGTGGAGAAAAAAATAAATAAAATAGGAACCACGCCCATGGTGCTGAATACAGGTACCCATGTATCCTACATTTAATTTCTCTCTGAACATAGAGACATCAATATTCCTCTACCTACTTTAATAAAAGCAATGACCCTGAACAGTGGTGCTACTCCATCTATAAATCACCCAATTTGTGAATTTAGCAAATGACGCAAAACTATCTGTCTCTACAAATGTATTAATGCAGCTGCAAACAGGCTGTGGTTTCTCTGAGCGCCATCATTTCCCACTTCAATGCTCCAGAGCCATCTCATTGATTTGGGATTCATTACTTTTGCGGTTTCATACAGCATGGAATGATGGGGGTACATATGTAATGACCATACCACCAGGCATACTAGCCAATTTGAAATGATTTGGGGAAATGATTTGAGGTCATTACCTTGGCTTAATGTCATAAGGGACTTTAATATGTGGGAGATCGGGTTCTAAATTGTTTGTTTGATTTGTTTTTAAGTATTGGGCATCCCTTTCCCCCCCATAAGATTCACCTTATATATATATTTGTTATCTTGCTGTTTTGTCTTTACAGTAATTAGAAATGCCTTAGTAACCGTTTTAGGTTTAGGTACAATCATTAATGTCTTTGAGACTGGCATTTATTGATATATACCAGTAATGAGTTTTCTCTTTCTCTTTTTCTTATTTAATTTTCACAGGATGGATCATATCTAGCTGAATTCCTGATTGATAAGGGCTATACAGTGAGTAAAGGTTTCTTGAACTACTTCTTAGGAGTCTTTTTTGTTTTAACCGGTTGACTACTGAATTCATTCATTACCATAGGCTGAATACAGGAGCCACCAGGTTCGAGTAGGCAAAGGGTTGAACAAATGGATCAGGGGAGTGTTTCACAAAGACTCAGATTGACTCTAAGTTGGACTTAACTATGGCAGGCCTCTCAAGGGAGGTATAAATCATAGTCTCAAATCTACAGAATTTACATTTTTTGATAATTCATTATAAAAGGAAAAATAATATTAAGATCAGAATGGTGAGAGCAACTAGTGGCATGAATGGCCTGCCATAGTTAAGTCCAACTCAAAGTCAATCTTAGTCTTTGTGAAACATCCCCAGATCTCTTTCACAATTTTACAGTAATCTACATTGTACATTCAGCTTTTGACTTTCATTGTTGCTCATTATGTTCATGTTTAGTTATTCCTGTTACTTTTTTAGAATGATCATATGCTAGCATCTCATGAGAACCAGAAAGTTACTAACTCCTATCATTTTGCATAGAGTTTAAGCTCTTCATGCTCTCAACAGATAGTGTTACCATTGACAAAATACCTTTCTGTTCATGAGAGCTCTTTTTGAGCTTGGGGTGACCATAAAAATACAAATTATACATGCAAAGTAATGGATAATAGATACGGAGTAGGCCTAAAATAAAGAATGGCTTGTGGAACGTACAGTGTACATGCCAATGTTTCTTACCAGGGACCCGTTTCACGAAGCCTTTTTTGCAATGACAAATGTCAAAAATCAGTGACAAATCTGCTAATAACCAATCAGAAGCAAGGATTTCACTAGCTCATAAACAAAAACTGTCATTCGCCACTGATGACAAGTTTTGTGAAATGGCGCCCAGAGCTCTTTTTCAGATTTTTTTGTTGGAAATAAATTTCCGAAGCCAAATCACTCACCACTCTCATTTATATATTGATTTATTAATTTTGCTGGTTGTTGCCCATGTTTTAGAAGTTATAATAACTTATTGTTACTTCTAATATTTGTCTTTGCGTGGTAATAGGTCCATGGAATCATGAGGAGGGCAAGTACCTTCAACACAGGACGTATCCAACATCTCTACAAGGATCCCAAGACACATCAAAGTGGATGTTAGTATTATTAAAGAGGTGTTGGGTGTTAGCTTCTTGAATGCATGGGTTGGAGTGGAGGAAAGTAAACATGTGTAAAGAGAGGGTGTTAGATTCCAGCACCTTTGAGGGGGAAAGGGTGTTACAATACAAGGGTGTTACTTCACTTGAGTAAGGACGAAGTACATGAAAGTGAAAGGATCCCAAGACACATCAAAGTGGATGTTAGTATCAATAAAGAGGTGTTGGGTGTTAGCTTCTTGAACACATGGGTTGGAGTGGAGGAAAGTAAACATGTGTAAAGAGAGGGTGTTAGATTCAAGCACCTTTGAGGGGAAAGGGTGTTACAATACAAGGGTGTTACTTCACTTGAGTAAGGACGAAGTATATGAAAGTGAAAGGATCCCAAGACACATCAAAGTGGATGTTAGTATCAATAAAGAGGTGTTGGGTGTTAGCTTCTTGAACACATGGGTTGGAGTGGAGGAAAGTAAACATGTGTAAAGAGAGGGTGTTAGATTCAAGCACCTTTGAGGGGAAAGGGTGTTACAATACAAGGGTGTTACTTCACTTGAGTAAGGACAAAGTATATGAAAGTGAAAGGATCCCAAGACCCATCAAAGTGGATGTTGGTATCAATAAAGAGGTGTTGGGTGTTAGCTTCTTGAACGCATGGGTTGGAGTGGAGGAAAGTAAACATGTGTAAAGAGAGGGTGTTAGATTCAAGCACCTTTGAGGGGAAAGGGTGTTACAATACAAGGGTGTTACTTCACTTGAGTAAGGACGAAGTATATGAAAGTGAAAGGATCTCAAGACACATCAAAGTGGATGTTAGTATCAATAAAGAGGTGTTGGGTGTTACCTTCTTCAATGCATAGGTTGGAGTGGAGAAAAGTAAACATTTGTAAAGAGAGGGTGTTATATTCCAGCACCTTTGAGGGGGAAGGGTGTTACAATACAAGGGTGTTACTTCACTTGAGTAAGGACAAAGTATATGAAAGTGAAAGGATCCCAAGACACATCAAAGTGGATGTTAGTATCAATAAAGAGGTGTTGGGTGTTAGCTTCTTGAATACATGGGTTGGAGTGGAGAAAAGTAAACATTTGTAAAAAAGAGGGTGTTAAATTCCAGCACCTTTGAGGGGGAAAGGGTGTTACAATACAAGGGTGTTACTTTACGTGAGTAAGGATGAAGTATAAGAAAGTGACACTTTAAGAGAAAAGTATTTAAGATTCTTGCACCTTCAGAAGAAAGGGTGTTACTTTACCTGAGTAAGGAGAAAGTATTGAGTAAGAGGAGTAGGAGGCTTTTCATCCCAACATACATATCTATAACTCATTGCCTCCTTACTGTGCAGAGAGTTAAATGATTTCCAGTGTATATTATTCCAGCAGTGAAACTCTGTCGCAGTTCTAAATGCCCCCTCCAAGCTTGATTGAGCCAGATTTCTTTAAATGGCACTAGGAGGAAGTATATACCTGTAACTCAATATAAGCTTTAAACGATGACAGTTTCTTATAGAATAGTCTTTATTTGGAAATGGCCCCCACCCCTCTGATCCCCCGCACAAGGTCGGTCTTGGGCAATTAAGGAATAAGTAGCAGTTGCCAACTCAAGGATTAATATCATGGGCCATATGGGGAAAAACAATAAGGAGAGGGGGTTTAGGAAAGGTTTTTCTTATTGAAAAAGGGAGAAGTCAGAGGTCTTGGTTAAACTGCTTGGGTCACTGCCAGGTATCGCAGCCCTAAGATTAAACTCAACTGTCTGAATAGATTGGCAGGACAATGCTAGCTGGGAGAGGCCTTCACAATTATATAGCAACTGTAAATACATGTCATCTATCCTGTACAGTATTTGCAGATGCGATGGTTTGAAATGAAACTATAACAAAACTAAAACTAGGGGCCCTGCTATATATCTTTTAAATTTAACATTCTGAGGTCATTATGAATTTATGAGGCCGCTCAACACTGGACCCTGCACCCCCCCCCCCCCTCCCCCTTCGGATTCAGGCCCAGAGACATTGTCTTTGACTGTATATTGGTTGTGTCTATTACCCCCCCCCCCCCCCCCCCCCAATTTTTTTTAAATAACAAAATTTAAAAAAGACAATTAGTCCTGGTATATATATATATATATGTCATGTTTGAGGTCATTTTTAATTCAAGAGGGTCAATTACCCCTGGAAAGCCGACCGTTTAAATATTATTGAGGTCTAGAAACATCATCTTTTGTATGGTCAATGAACATGTACATTGTACGACTCAATCTTCATGGTTAAGTAAAATTTCAAAAGACAATGAGTCATGCTATATATACCTTGATCTCTGAGTTCACTCAGACTTTCTTTAAGGTCACTTGCCCTTGGACCCCCCCCCTCCCCACCCTTTTTATAGACATGTTTTTTTGTGAAGCCAATGACCAAGTATGACTGTCTCCCCACATTTTCTATTGAGAACCAAGTGATGGTCATTGTATGGTCATGCATTTCATTGAAGATTAACCTTGCCAATCCAGGATTATGGAAGATTATCTGTTCTTAATTGAGAAGAAAACACAAAGACAATGGGCGAGATTTCACCTGGCATGCTATATAAGGAAATGATTTCTAATACATGTACCTCAGTTATACCCTAAAACCACCTCCAAACCAACCGCAAACCTACACTGAAATTATTCCAAATGAACTGCAAACTCTTTGATGAGGAGCTTCAGTCATTCTGGCTGAGAGTCAATTTGAATTGTTTATTATGCAGTACAGTGGTTTGATCATCAAAATTCATACAAACTAATGAATACATTCACTGAGAGCACTTGTTTTGTTTTGACTTTTGTGATATGTATTTAGATTTATTCGCTAATCATGTTATCTGTCTTTGCTCATTACTCAGCTATTATACAATCCAAACTAAATTTGTTTGGAAGTTTATGATTAGAAAACTAGTCAGTGTAAGTTTCATCTGAATCTATGAATTATCTTTTTCTGTCATTATATCAGAATACAAGATTCTCTGTTGTTCTCTCTCTGTCTCTGTCTCTCTCTCTCTCTCTCTCTCTCTCTCTCTTCCTCTGTATCTCTCTCTCTCTCTTCCCATCTCTCCCTCTCTCTCTCTCTCTCTCTCTTTCTCTCTGTCTCTCTCTCTCTGTCACTCTTCCTCTCTCCATCGCTCTTCATCTCTCCCTCCCTCTCTCTCTTTCTCTCTCCCTCTCTCTATCTCTCTCCCTCTCTCTATCTCTGTCTCTGTCTCTCTCTCTCTCTCTCTGTCTTTCTCTCACTCTCTCTCTCTCTCTCTCTCTCTCTCTCTGCAGTATCATAGACTTTGGTGATATGTTTTCTTTCTCCTTCAGTTCTACTCTACCTCCTTGGAATTTGCAGGGGGATGAGATGGCTCAAGACTAAATGATATTTATTAAACTGGATCATGGCCCTTTTGGATTTTTGCAGTTTACCCTAGTACCATTAAAATATTGTGAAGGCTTCTCAGCTAATATTTATTAGCAGGTCATGAGGAGTTTTCATGCCTAATTTGGAGCTTTTATCCGCTTTGTCACAAAGATATCCCCAATCCACCCCATTACTCTACGTGCCATATCCATAGACTGGTGGTCACGCTGTTCCGCAACTCTCCATCTCCAGCCTTCTATGTCAGTTGTACCTATTCACTCCCCTCTCTCTCCCAGCCATTTCTTAATCCTGTCATTTTCTTTCTCAACTCCTGGGCCCCGTTGCATAAAACTTACCATTTTGTGCAACAGGCCCTGATCGATCTTTCCCTGTAAGTGTGAAATGACCTCTGACCTCTGTATCTGCTTTTTGTTCTTCTCCCAACCAGCCATGGTACTACATTATGGTGACCTGACGGACAGTACGTGCTTGGTCAAGATTGTGAGCAAGGTCAGACCCTCGGAGATCTACAACCTTGGTGCGCAGAGTCACGTGAAGGTAAACACCCCCTACACGGTTCTACTACGACCCGACGTTGGCTGCCTGCAAAAAGGCTGTTACTGTCATTAGCAATACACCTGGGCCCCATTTCACAAAACTTGTCATCAGTGATAAATGACAGGTTTTGTTATAAGCTAGTGAAATCCTTGCTTCTGATTGGTTATACACAGATTTGTCACTGATATTGTCACTTGTCATTGAAAAAAGGCTTAGTGAAATGGGTTCCTGGTAGCTTTTACAGCCTTCTTGCAGGCAGCCTTTGAGATGCTGATAATTGCTTCATGGTCCATCTCCTACGTCAATCCATTGCAGACGGGCACCAGGGGGATCCTGTATAAAGTTTAAGGGACTGAGACTGTTCAGTAATCAATGGGCCTAACTGAATTCCTACAACCCTGGCCTCAACACTACACTTTACCATAACCCTTACCTTTAAGCGAACCTGAAACTCTTCGGCAACTCTAGCCCTAACCCTCTATTTTTAATGAAAACAAAACTTAGAATAATGTTTCCTAGAGCAGTTTTCAGAACACCCAGGGACCAAACCTGTCATGCATGCAATATGAATTGCAAGAGCACATCTCATTTTCAGGTCTGAAGTCCTGTACCAGCCACTTTAAAGAAACCCTTCATACTACATGGTAGCAGGTACTTGATGAATATCAAAGTCCATAATATTTTGTAGTCTTAGTCTTAAATTTCTGCCAGCCATTTTCAGAAAATTTCTATTTGGAGACTGTAGCGAGTTTTGGATGTATCAGATACCTTGAAAGAATGATGTAGTAATGAAAGTTTCAAGGAATGATTATGATTTGATCTTTTCATTTATTTTTCTTGAAGGGGAACTATTTTCTTTCTTTATGCGTGGAAGAGCTTCCAATTGATTTTTTGTTATGCCTCAGCCTGCCATAGGAAGTGCAAGAGGCATGTTACTACTAGCCTACATGTAGTTACCACACCTGTATCCTTACATTATCCTGATTTTGAAAACAAATTGCACGTCTATTGTTGTTGTATCATTCTTGACTTCTTTTATCTAATTCCTTCCTCAAAGTAATGGAAAACAGTCACAGTGTATATATATTTCCTGCAAATTAGGTTTATTTCTCTTTTTTTCTTGGAGGGGATAGGGAGTAGGGGGAGGGGGGGCACTTCCTCCGGAATATTTTCGATGATTTTCCTATTCCTTTTTCAGCGCTTGCTACATGCTTTTAAGAGCTCAAGATCTTTCTACTTCTGAGTTTTTATCAAGGCATTGGTGGTTTTACCATTGCTTCTCACAAACCTGCCTCTAGAGGGCAGTATGACACTTTCATTGCCTAGCATGTTGCCTTACATCTTTCATGGTCTTCGGGTGTTGCAGCCAGAACAAATTCTATTTTTAAAATTCCAGTTCTATACACAAATGCCCCCACTTATGAAAATGTTGTTTCTATAGTTAGTACATTGTCACTTGCTGGATGTTCAAACTAAGGCCAAAGTTACATTTATTTCAGGTCAGTCAGTGTGATAAGACTGAGCTTTATATGAGCTCCAATTCTTCCATCACGGATCCGCACTGTCAATCTTTCTTTTTAATTAAAAGCAAAGCTTTATTAGTTCAAATTAATAGAGAAGTTCCGTGATTTTCTTCAGGTTTTGGTGTGTACACTGTTTTTTTTTTAATTTTCAATCCATACAGGAAAATAGGTTCCTATATATGAGCTATTGAGCTTGCACAATATAGTGTACAAACCACCAAAAGATATAATGTTCTGTATGTAATGCTAAGTTCACACCGACGCCGAATTGATGGCGAATTAAATCGGCGAGCAAAGCGGCGGCAAAGCATAACAAAGCTTAATTAAAGTGTAAAGACCGTAATAGAGCGTGAGAAAGCTTTGAGCAATTCGGGACATTCGGCAAGAGCGCCAAATTTTTTTAAACCGTTTAAAAATTTGAGGCGATCTGTCACGAATTGCGTAAAGCGGGGAGAGCATATTAAAGCTTATCAAAGCGTCACAAAGCTTATCAAAGTTTTGCTCAAAGCGTAGGAAAGCTTAACAGAGTTTAACAGAGCTTGGTTCAAAGCGGTGACCCCACTTTTTATGCTCTGTCACCAATTGACACGCTTATCAGAGCATAACATATCTGAGGAGATCGTGAGATTTTTTGAAAAGTAAACAAAAATGACACCGAATTGATCGCCGATTTAAAGCGCGACATTTGGCGTCGGTGTGAACTGTGCATTAGGGGTTCCTTGCTGCTATACTATATCAAAACTATGAGCTTCAAGTATTGCTTCTACAAAGAAATATTGCAAGTTAATACTTTCTTAATTCACATTACAGTGACTCGTGAGTAGACTACTCGATGCATCTGTACGCGTTTGCATAGTAATGGGCCCACATGGAACCCAGGTTCGACTTGAGTTCCATGCACTGGGTTATATGTTATTCTGTATTTTCTTCTTACTTCCTAATCACTAACCTACATATTATAGAATGCCTGATATAGTTTTTTATTTAATTTTATTTGATATATTCTTGCTACAGACATATTATTTTATTAGGTGATTGGTACACTTAAAGGGAGTAATGAATTGCAAATTGTAGCTTTAGGCCAGACCTCAACAATTTATGCCAATAAGCATCCCTCAACTATTTAATTGTCTCATTGGAGTTGCTTGGCCTCCCATGATGATATGTAAAAGCCAATAATGTGGGATGTGACATGAATCAGAAATGATGTAGGTAGTGTTCAATGCCTTTGTAAACTTGATCGTTTCTTTGATGGCTCTTCATAACGGGGAAAAGATACACAGGGGCTCGGGGCGAAATAGCCCCCAAAATTCCCAAAAGAGCCCCCGAAAATCATAAAAAAGCCAACAAAAAGTTGCATAGAGTTCAATACAAGACAAATTGAAGAGTGTTACTCTCATGCTAGCAAGCTTGAAAAGTAGCCCCCGAAATTGTTTTAATATTTTTTCCCTGCCTCTTTACCTCAGGTATCCTTTGAGATGGGCGAATACTCTGCTGACGTTGATGGACTCGGAACCTTGAGACTCCTGGATGCTATCAGGACCTGTGGTTTGGACGACTCTGTTAGGTTCTACCAGGCCTCTACCAGTGAGATGTTCGGCAAGGTTCAGGAGATACCACAGACGGAGACCACGCCCTTCTATCCTCGCTCCCCCTATGGTGAATAATAATGAAGATGATGATGGTGGTGGTCATGATGATGATGATGATGAGGATAAGGATGATGATATTGATGATAATGGTGATGATGATGATGGTTGTGGTGGTGGTGATGATGATGATGATGATGATGATGATGATGATGATGATGATGATGATGATGATGATGATGATGATGATATTAATGATAATGGAGATGATGACGATTATGGTGGTGGTCGTGATGATGCTGGTGGTAGTGGTGGTGGTGGAGATGATGGCGAAGATGATTATGATGATGATGATGATGAAGAAGATGATAGTAATAATGATAATGGTGGCTTCATGTGTCCATGGCTTCATGTGTTTCATGTCATGATGCTTGGGTATTCCAATGTTACTATACCTTTAATAGCTGTTCAGCCAAATACTTATGTGGCGCTCTTGCAAATTAGGTATCCCATTTACACTCGGATGTAGAGATTCAAACAATAATGTCTCGCCAAAAGAAATTAGTGCTGGGTTAAGATACAAACCCTGAACCTTTGACTGAAAGTCAGTTGAATGAACCACTACCGGTATACCATAATTCCTCCATTACAGTGGAACCTGCTTTAGCAGCCACCAGTACAGAAAAAACTTTGTCTTCAAAGACCACATCTTTATCCCCCCCCCCCCAAAAAAAAAAAATGATACTTCACTTGAATAGTATTTCTCATCAGAGTTTGGACTAAAGGAACCCATGAATCTTATCTTGTTTCCAATGAGCGGTTTTTATATAGAGGTTTGAATGTATAGAAATGTATCATTCATTGTTATGAATTTAGTAACACCAGACTGTAGAGGAACTGTGAACTAAAAAAATTAACGATATGAAACTTTAGCAACTGTTACTTCACTTACTGGTAAGTGAAGGTACAGAAATTCATTACTACAATTGAATCATTTTGCAGCATGTGCAAGTTTTGCAAATTTTGACCGCTCCGAAAATGTGTGAGCAAGTTTGTGATCTTTATGTTGTGCCATCCATTTTCAAGTTTGTTAAGAGACTTTAAGGCTTCCCGTATTGTTCTTTTAGAATACTCCTAAATGTCTCCTCATTTATCACACACGCATTGTGTAGCAATTGAGAGTAAAGTATCTTCAGATGTCCAAACATTGATTCAGATCTGTCTGGTAGTAGGGAAATTTTCCACCTTCAATGAAACAAACAATTTTTGTGGTTTGAGACCATTTCACCTAATTATTCATCTTAATCGAGACCATACTTTGAATATAAGGAACTAACTTCACAATAATCAGTTTCAGTAAAGGAAAGATTGTTATTTGACCCTCGTATTTCTGAAAATTCCCCATTCTTTTATCTTTTCTTCAAACATAATGGGTAATGTGGCAATAACAGCAATACAGCCCTAATTTGTGGTCAAGTGAAGTGCATTCAGCTTTTCAAATATGATTGAAAACACTTACCACCAAATTCAGGGAAATAGAGTGTACTCAATGTATGTTGAAATATTAAAAACAATTAATAACTATAACCGCATATGCCTTGTCTTCTTATAGCTTTAAACTGATGGTTTACCACATAAACCTCTGAAATTCCTCGTTTTGGTTTTCTTCTGTCTCTCCTTATTTGCTCGCACGATATTGATTAAAATTATTTAAAAACAAAATGACACTGTAACCCAAGACATGCATGTATTTGAAACTCACTTATCACTTATTTGTTCCCAGTGCATTAGATTTCTATTGCTGAAATGATAGATCTTTGTTAACTCTTTAGTCACTTTGGATCATAACTCTAGAATGACACATTCTTTGGCTAGTACACTCAGCAAAAGAAGAAAGTGGACACTCTTTATAGTTGAGATATTTAAATATATATTTAATATTTATATTCCCTTTCTCATATCAAAGTAAACATAAATTAATCCCTTTTATAAAGATGATATGCAAGTGAAATCATGCAACGCATGCATAGGTGAGAGCATAGCCATTTAACAATGAATGAGTTTCTGAAAGAAAATTACAAAATGGCCATCTGAGCAAGGAGGTTTCATATGGCTTGTCCTCGATCTTGGGTGGAAACGAGAGGCATATTGACCATGCTTGCCAAGACCATGCAGTCCTGAGAACTATAGTTGACATCCACAGCTGAATCCTTTTTATTATTCCACATCCTTTGTTTTCATTGTTGAACAAGAATATCCTACAGATGCACATGTCCATTAGCATCTGAATGGCTACTTGCTCTAGTTTTTAACTTTTCTTACTCGACCTGTGCCTATCCAATTGTGAAAGCTCAAAACTTGACCTTAATTAAAATTGGTAGAGTATTATTAAATTTTCTTTAATTTGGTATGTATTTCATTGATACATTGGATTGACAATTCATATTTGAACGATAGAGATTTTCCACTTCTTTTTAAATACACTGCATGTGTGATAAAAGTACCTGTGGCAGTCCAAAGTTTGTTTCATTATTTGGCTGAAGCCGATAAAAAGTTAACATCGCTGTCTTTTCTGAAAGCAGTATTCATCTCTTGGTCCATGTTCACATCTTTTTCTTTTTTTTTCCTCAAAAATAAAAGTATCATATGAATTACATATGTATCACTAATAATGATTATAATAATAACAATTTGTCTTTTTTAACCATGATGGTCTTATTTCAGGGGCCCTGCAAAGCATGTTATTTCTCCAGCTTTTTTTTAAATTTAAAGATATTTTGTTTATTTGTATATTCTCTTGTTACCTATGCAGGTGCGGCGAAGCTGTATGCCTACTGGATCACAATCAACTTCCGAGAAGCCTACAACATGTTTGCTTGCAACGGTATCCTCTTCAACCATGAGAGCCCTAGGAGAGGTATGGAAGATCTGCAGGGCAGGCGGGTGTTTCACAAAGATACCAAGTCAAACTTAATTCTAAGATGGACTTAAATATTACAGAGAGCCATTTGTAGCCTTAAAACAAAAGATTTTCAAAAGCAAAAATTCAAGTAATTTAGACTTTTCATAAATTCCACGTCAAGAACATGAAATTTCCTTGGATTATATAAAATATGAATGATTTGAACCAACATTTCATGCCTTTTGAAATAACTTTTACAAAATAATTTTAAAGATGCTAACAGCTTTCCATAATTGTTAAGTCCAACTTAGAGATAAGTTCAACTTACGATCTTTGTGAAACTCCCCCCAGGACCATTCCCTGAAAACATCATCGGTACACGTTTGTGGACATCCCACGGAAGTACTTTTAATACACACGTTTCAATGGGATGTTGATGAACTTGTACTTATGATGGTTTCATGAAATGCTGCTCTGGTCAAAGGTCATGTACAGTAATGGAGAAGTAAGGGGAAAGAGACTGCTCTGACTTGGGATGTTAAGAATTGTAACAAATGGCCAAATTCTGTCTTTAATGTATTTTTTCCTATCGGTGGCATCGCAACATTTACATCCAATGCCTATTCCACATAAACATACTTCAAGGCCCTGTCTTTTAAAGAGTTGATATTAATCGCAACTTATTTACGATTGATATCGATCACAACTATGTACATAAGAGATTAGAGATGGTAATCTTGTAATTGATTCGGATCAATCACAACTCCTTATAAGACGAGGCCCAGGAGACAGGGAGATGTGAGTTGGTCTGGCGGCACGTTCCCTTGGTCAGCTCTCTGTCTATGCCTACAAACTGGCTCAGGCAACCCAGGTTTCGAAACTGAGTCACGTTTTTCGGATGGTGGCATTAAAGGTCGGTCCCCAGTTGTAAATAGTCATATCTGATCGATACACGTCTGTAAAACAGACACACACACACAGAACAATTTATTGTGTAAGTGTTCCGGTAGTCTAGCAATCATTTGTGGCTCCAAAGCATCTTTCATGCTATGTCACTAAATTTGTAGGTACAGTAAAACCTCATTCAACCTCTAGACCAGAGATTCACTTGAGAGTGAAAGTAGACATTGGTTTGTATTCTACTGATTCAGTTAGGCATGACCCATGGTCTAAGACCTCAATTCATAAAGGAAAAGCTAAGACTTCGGACCAACTTCCTATGTCAATCCTGATTTTGAACAAAAGCTTTTAAGCCCAGCTTGGGATTAAATTCAGAAGATTACAGTCCCTTTTGTCCTCCAGACAGGGCAACAAAAGAGGAACCAGGAATGAAGAGGAGGTGAAATTTGGTTTGGAATGATCACCTAAGCACCTCTGTAAACTTTGTAAGCAACTTAAAAGAATGGGATTGATCGTTGTTATTCTTCAAGTACACTGCACTCACAGCTTGTCTGGTGCTGACTTTTTAAAGTCATGGAAAAACCAAGCATGTGTGGACTTAGAGATAGTGAAATATTAGTGTAATGAATAAGACAAATTTGATTTAAAGATGCTTTGAACTCATTGAAATGATAACAAATTACCAAATCTTGTTGGACATGATAAACAATGAAAACAAGAATAGTAGTAGACACTTCAAATATTGGACTTATACATGGGAATACACAAAATTGTGGCATCGGAATTTGGTCAAAAGTTCTTGACTATTTCTTGTCATATTTGAAGTTTGGGAGCACTTTAGAGAACATTTCTTTTCACAAGACATTGCTGCTGTAATATATTCTTCCACATACCAATGAAAGGAATGAGAAAACTTAGAATTTAACTAGAACTTAACGATCCCCTTCGATAGTACAGCTAAGAATGTATTTTTCCCCCTTTTGTATTAAGGTGAGACATTTGTGACGAGGAAAATCACCAGAGCTGTTGCCAAGATCCATCTGGGACAGCAGGATTCCGTGAGCCTAGGAAACATTGATTCTCAGCGTGATTGGGGACACGCTAAAGACTACATCGAGGTGAGTCTGAACCCGGGCCCTGTTTCATAAAACTTGATATCAGTAACACGTTACAAGCTACTGTTATAAGCTACTGAAATCATGGCATCTGATTGGCTGAGAGCAAACTTGATATCAATAACAAGTTACAAGCTACTGTTATAAGTTACTGAAATCATGGCATCTGATTGGCTCAGAGCAAACTTGATATCAATAACAAGTTACAAGCTACTGTTATAAGCTACTGAAATCATGGCATCTGATTGGCTCAGAGCAAACTTGATATCAATAACAAGTTACAGGCTACTGTTATAAGTTACTGAAATCATGGCATCTGATTGGCTGAGAGCAAATTTGTCATAGATACTTAGCATTTGTTACAGATAAAAAGTTTTATGAAACAGGGCCCAGATTGGTGAGGTTATTGAAATCACATTCACACTCTAAAAAAAAAAGCACACAGTGACATTTGTTTGCAGTCCACAAGAGACCGTGTGATCAGACAGGGACTGAATTTTTAAAGAAATAGGAGTAGTATTTGGGATGGAATTTCCCACATTGTATCTGATGAAGGCTCCAAACTGTTGACTGAATATTGGATTGTAAGCCTCCCAGGTGGATAAGTGGCTAAGTCTACCAATTGGTGACCAGTCATGCTTTACATGGCTTATGATTCCCAGTGATCAGGCTTTTCCTTTGAATGGAAAGACTTCCAAGACCCTGCCAATTCATACGGAACCTGAATCAGGAAGAATAACATTGTAGAAATCCATATCTGATCCTACTTCAATGTCTTTCAAAACCAATCAGGACATATTAGTTCACCGAATTGTTCCAAGAAGCTGCCAAACAGCATGGTACACTTCAGGAGCACTCTGAGATCCTGTGTACAATCCAACAAATACACAGAGAAAATGCGAAAGCGAATGATGTCTACTATTTAAATATTTTCTGGCTTGATATAAGAATGTTCTTATTGGGGTGTGTGAAGTGGTTCTAAGGGTAGGCCATATGCTGCAGACAGACAAGTTGACTTTGATGACACTGAGATAGCACAGTGTCATCCCACACACTGTTATTTGGTTCGCAGTGATGAGAATAATTCAATACGATACCTCTGAAGAAAATGGAAAAAAGCTCATTTGCATGAGGTCCATGGAAATGATTTCTGGTCACTTTGTGTGGAACCAACGAGTCCATTGCACTGACTCATTTTACGAGGGATATATATACAATACCAGCTTTGTTGAGACCAGAATAATACAAGCAATAAAGTGTGACGTCCTCAAAATTCTATTTTTATGATGTCACAGCTTCGGTACTCTATACCCTTTTAATGAGAGGAGTAGAAGAGGATTAAATCCATGCTCTATTAAACCCCAATAGATTTTCTTCTCCAGTGACTATGAAAACTGTAGGATGACTGTAGATTTTAGTCCTGTTAGTCTATTGTGAAGCATGACGTCTGAGTAAGGGTGACGTCATCTGAGTAAGGGTGTGGTTGGGGTAACAAAGAGGGACAAAAGGTGGACAGAAAGGGAGGCTAAATCTTTTCCAGTTAGAATGGACAAATGATTGCCTGGGATTATTCCTTATTAGCAATACCAATCGTATGCTTCTCTTTACAAGGAGAGAACGTTCCCTTTGTTACAGTAGTTAAAGTTATGAAAGGGTTGTATATTTGAGAAAGGAGTATATCGGAGAAAGTAAGGGAGATATTATGTAGGAAGATGATAGAGGTAGATCTGGAATCAAAATAGAAATAGAGAAGGGAAGGAAGTGAGGGAGGAAAAAGGGAGGTAGAGCCTAGAGAGAGAGGGGGGGGGAATAGAAGAGAGAGAGAGAGAGAGGGGGGGGATGGAATAGAGAGAAAGAGAGAGAGAGGGAGGGGGGAATAGAAAAGAGGGAGAGGGGGGAAAAGAGAGAGAGAGAGGGGGAAAATAGAAAAGAGAGAAAGAGAGAGAGAGAGAGGGGGGGGGGGAATAGAAAAGAGAGAGAGAGAGAAATGACAAAGGTGAACAGAGATGGAAAGAGAAAGAGAAAGATAGGTAGCAAGTTATGATGGCTAGTCGTTGTTTACCCAAGTAGACATCAATTTTCTTTGAAAAACTCCTAGAAAACAGTCTTAGGTCATTAATTGTTTGTCAGTTGCACAACCATGTAGCTGTCAAGCAATCATTTTTGCCACCCTTTTTAACCCTTGTGTGCCCTTCAAACAAAAATCATTGCACTCTCCTGTCCAAAACATCAGCTATGAATGTCCTCTTAGATAAATGTATATCCAGAATATTTGATGAAAGTTGTTTTGATAGTGCTTAATACCCCGTTCCTTTAAAGGAGTCACCCCAAGAACCCAAAGTGTTTTAAGATGCAAAATTCATATCATTGTGAAGGGGAAGCCTTACTGATCAAATACAACAACTTCCCTCTTCTAAATATGTTTGGGGCCCGCATTAATCAACTCTCAAAAACGTTAGTTTTGAGATCCAGATTTTCTGCCATCAGCGGTCCTTCGTATAGCGACACTACTGTGACGTCACTTACGGGACAAGGCTAGCTGCAGACTGCTAGATGCGAACGCATATGATAATACATGCAACTCGACTTTTTGTAAAAGTCGAAGCATACTCTTGAGATTAAAAAAAAATCCTTTATCACATATGTCACAATAGATTTCAGCTGCATATCGTCATTATTTCCCTTATGTAACAACGGGTCTCATCTTGCTGTTTGTTCCTCTAGGCCATGTGGATGATGCTGCAACACAAGGAGCCAGTGGACCTTGTCATCGCAACCAACCAGGTCCACAGTGTGCGGGAGTTTGTGGTAGCTTCGTTCAAATGCATCGGGGTTGAGATTGTGTAAGTACTCCTGCACTGCCAATTTGGGAACTTAAAGATTAACTTGAGTTCTGGTAAAAAAAGAAAATGAATTCTTACAGAATCAAACAAAACTTAATACACTGAATGTTTGAGATTACAAATAAATGTCATTTGCCAAACAATTTTTGAAGGAAATGTATACTGGCTGAGTAATGAGCATAGAAAGATAAGGAAATCAAGGTAAGTAGGCCAGACACCATTTGTGTAGTCCCATGTACATCTTTCTGTGTACATTGCTTGTTACTTAACCAAGACTGGGCCAAATTTATTATGATTTTGATGACTCCATAACCTTGCAGTACACACCAATACGTACATGTTACATGGTCAACTTTTTATGATCCACTCCACACCTTTACTTTCACAATGCAATCGCATGACCAGAACTCAACTTTAGCTTTAATAATGCATTTGATTATAGTTGTGATTTCAGCATTGCCCATCATATATCTGTATGGGAACCGTGCATTCTAGATAGACGGATCAGGGAACAGCATGCAGTGAGATTGTGGTTGAATCCACACCTGTCTATTAAGGTCACTCCGAGAGCAACATACAAAAGTGGCCACTGAAGCCAGGTGTCCACCCAGGTCAAGGTACCTTTAAAGCAGGTTCCAAGGTACCTGTTATGTATTTCCAGCGGGAGACAACATAGGTTGACCGAAATCATAGGAGGCTTTTGGAGATTCATGTATGTGGCCTCTATGACAAGTTTAATTGCACCAGGGACCTGTTTCACAAAACTTGTCATCAGTGACAAATGACAGTCTTTGTTATAAGCTACTGAAATCCTTGCTTCTGATTGGTTATCAGCAGATTCGTCACTGCTTTTTGTAATTTTTCATTGAAAAAAGGCTTTGTGAAACGGGTCCTAGGACAATCATGGTACAATGAGGTACTGTCCATCTCAAGGTGATCGTTGTGATCCAGATTTTATGACAATAGCACTCTATTTTTAAAGTGTACCAGTTGCCTGAAAGTATAATTTGTGTTTTTATATCTAAATAATGCATGAAATCAAATTAACTTACTCTGTTCACATTGATGAACATTTCATATGTATTGTAATTTGTAGGTTTATTTGCATTTACCTTTTTGTTTTGTTTTATAGGTAATTGTTTATCATTTTGTCATATTTTGTTTGTTATTGTGCCTACATACATTGATGGTAAGCGTTTTATAAGCACCAGTTTTATTAACATTATTACAAAATATTAACCTACATGTATAAACTAGCATTAGGTACAATCTGGGCTCAAAACTAACAGGTGGGATACACCACGCCCTTCCCCCCTCCCCCCTACCCCATTTTAAATCTCGATCCCCATAAGTTTGAGTAGTAACCGGGTGCTCGAGCATACCAACCCACCACAGCATGAGTGTCCTTAGTCAAGACATTACTCTACAGTTGCCACTCTCCAGCCAGGTGTAGTAAATGGGCTCCCGGTGGGAAGAAATCCTTGAAGGGTGAACGCCCTAAATCATGGTAGCTGGGCTAATGCCATGGTGATAATGTGATTGCAGGGCCCTCAGGGAGAACGATATTAATACTGATGAGGCTTCCATGTATCCTCTGTTTTCAAGATATATTGTAAAACAACCACTGAGGAACTAATACTTTAAAGAGAAGATGATGTTTGAAGGTTTGCATGGTGGTATGAACAATCGCGGAAGAGGTTTACGGTACACCATGTGTAAAGTCCTAGAAGGACTAAGGAAAGTGGATAGAAATAGAAGTGAAATGGAAAGGCGAGAAAGTGGAGGTTGGAAGGAAGAGTATCTTTCGGAAGTGAGTATAGTCCTGAAAAGGACTGTAAACCAGAAAGTTGTAGACAGGATGAGAGGTTTGAGTAGAAGACTGGATTGAGTTGGAGAGTTGAGTAGATGAGAGAAGCTGGCGTGAGTCGGCAGAGCAGGAGCAGGAGAGTAGACTCAACGTTTCAGACAGGTTGACTGGAGACTCCCTATTTGAGCACAAATTATTTAACATTAAACTCTGTTCTTTTCCACCCTTTTTTTAACAGATTTAGTATGCACAATCCAAACCAGTGGAGAATCTTTTCTTGTGGCTTTTTTATGTGGAATATTGACATTTATTTTGTATTATCCCATTTTACACATACCGGTAGTTGTATCGGGGCTTCAAATGTCATGTAATGTAATGTAATGATCCAGCCCTGCCTAAAAGAAACATAATTTTTTTTGACATAGACTGTGTGTATATAAAGAGTATCACAAAGTGGTACATTTTGTGTCTTTATTTTTGGGTACTCGGTAGCCTTTATTTTTTGGTACTCGGTAGCCTTTCTGTTTGGGTACTTGGTAGCCTTTCTATATAGATGGTTGGTATTCTCATAAGTTAAGCCTGGACTAAGTCCAGACTAAATAAGAATTTTAGTTCACACTTCTATGGAATGCTAGGTTTCATTTTCCTCCTTGAATATTCATGACAAAGATAATCTACCAAAGAAATTCAGTTCATACTCATATTATCTTTTTCTTCCCATTTCATTGCAAAATTATTTTTTTGGACACTTTTCATTGAAGGATTGAAATAATTTGTACAGGGTAAATGAGTTGGCAACAGGCACTCCATAAAAGTGTGGACTAACTTAGTACACGCTAATTTAGTACGCGCTACCGGAATACCACCCATGGTCTCTATAAGCATGTTTTACTGTTTTTACATTCTATTCCTTAAAACTAGACAATAGCTAAATCAGTATATGACCAATCATGATGCCTCTGTGACCAACACTTTCTTGTTAGTTGTCAATTGCTGTGATATCACATTTTATTTTAAAATCAATCTCAACTAATTTGTGTACCGGTATTTCTTCTCCAGTCTGTTCATGGACCATGCCATGTCCATGTGCTTTTTGACAGTTTCACCTCACTCTAGTTTTTGAAGTGAATTTGTTTTCACTTGTGTGTGTGTTATTTTGCTTCCCATGTGCAGCAAAGTTCTAAATTTGAATGATGCTGCTCTACAATTCTACTTAAGATATCCATAGCATATAGACCTTTTCCATATAGAGTAAAACCTATATATAGAGACCAAGCAAAAATTGGCAAGGATTGTGGTCTTTATATATAGTACAAGAAAAAACAGTTCGAGGGAAAGAAAACCGCAGTGCTTATAGACAGGTGGTATTTCTATACAGGTGCTTGGTAAAACAGGTATAACTTTACATGTTAATGATATTACTTTGGGAAAATCAATGAAATATATAGTTTGAGGGATATACCTATCCTGGGGGGTGTTTCACAAAGATCCTAAGTAGAACTTAACTCTAAGTTGGACTTAAAAATTATGGACAGCCATTGGAGTCTTAAAATGAAATATATTCAAAAGCAGAAATTCAAGTATTTTAGACTTTTTATAAATTCCACATCCGGAACATGAAATCTCCTTGATGATAGAAAATATGAATGATTTGAATAAACAATTTATGCCTTTCAAAATAACTTTTACAAAATATTTTTAAAGATGCTAATGGCTTTCCATAATTTTTTAGTCCAACTTAGAGATAAGTTCAACTTAGGATCTTTGTGAAACACCCCCCAGGATAGTTATTTAGCTGTGATAAGGACTATTAAATCACCAGGGCAACCTAGCATCTCTATATTCATGTTTATTGTTGATTTATAGGTGAGGGAATGGTTGAAGCTTTACAGAATGACAAACATTTAAAATTCATTAACCACTCTGGGTTCCTGCAGTTATGAACAAAACTTGGAAAGTCATGGAAAAACAAATTCTCCTGGATAATCATGAAAAATTGGTCGTTGGTGTGGGCTGTGTGTAGCTATGGTGGCTATGTCTAGCTATGGTGGCTATGTCAGCTTTCCAATTTGAACTGACAGTGGGCGTGGTATTCGTATGTCACTTGGATGCCGAAAAACCCACACCAAAAGGGTTGTGGGGAGGAAGGTCTGCGGATCACAGTTATTTGGTTAACTTTTTCCATACCCGGGCAGCTCGACCGGATGCACCTGCTATTGCAATATTTATATATGCTTTCTATTGATTTTTTAATCTCAATTCATGTTTGTTATATTGTTGTATTATGTGACTTGATTTGCCAAATAAAAAATAATAATAGTATTTATCTGGTCATGAAAAGGGCAAAAATGGATCGTGGAATTTGGTTCTCAAATTTCTATGGGAAACCTGCCACTGATTTTTCTCATTCCCCTATGCTTAACACAGGAAGTACCTGATTGGTATCTTGGCCATGAGCTAACCCATTGGCTACTGAATTCTCTCATTGCCATAGGCTTTATACAGGGACGACCAGGTTCCAAGAGGCAAGGGGTTAATTGTGTTCTTATTTCTTTGTAGATGGGAAGGCAAGGGAGAACAAGAAGTTGGAAAAGACAAGGCGACGGGAGTCATTCGAGTCAAAATCGATCCCAAGTTCTACAGGCCAACGGAAGTGGTAAGTGTTTGCAATAAAATAATATCAAGAAAAAATGATAATACTTGCTTCTTTACGTATAGTAGAATCTTCTTCTTCAGGTAGTGCTGTGCCGTTCAATCCTGGAGATTATCACATGCGAAATGCAGTGTGAGCTGTGTTTGTGCCAAAGAGATGTATTGGTCCGTGGGTGGGTGTTTACTGTGAGGCCTTAAGCGTTTATAGTGCAAATTGTATGACATAATAACGTTAATAATAATAATGATATCTTAACAATGATGGTGATGATATTATGAATTTGTATGATGGAATCATAAATTTGAAATTTGTAAATAAACTACATTGTGTATTATTATGTGTAGGTAGTGTCATACAATACAGAAAACAATAGTTGAAAAGAGTCCAAAATGTCTGCATTACACATTGAGATTCACATTAGAGATATACACAAAACAAAGCGTGCTATCAACAAAAATTAGCAATATTATTTCCATAATGATGAACTTGTGTTGAATTCTTTTCTGAGCAGAAGCACATTATTTTACAAATGCACAGGGCCAGTGCCAAGCTCATTGAGCTATGTTTGATAGAGTGACTAAAGTTCAACACTGCCCTCTTGTGACTAAATACAGCTAACCTGCTGGTTTTTGATGTTGTAGTCTTTCTTCTCAGTCTCCTATTTTGGCTTCGGTGATTTGTGATTTTTTTTTTAAAGTGAGATAGTAGAGAGAGAGAGAGAGAGAGAGAAACAAACAAAGAAATTGAGAGCCCTTGTCCAAACTAATGATATAAGGTAAAGAAGCAAAGGGTATCTTATCTTTTTTAATTAATCTTTGGTAAAACCTAAAAGTCAGGTAAATTGCTTTGGAAGTTATACCCTTTTTCACGTTTGGCTTTCTTTGATGTAGTGCCATTGTCAGCTCAGATTTTCTCTGTCGACATTGATTTTCCTGGTGTCAACCTCAGTGCGGTATCAAATAATTGTCACTTGTGTAAACACGTTATTTAGTCTAGCTAAGATAAGTGGTCTACTGCCATCTAGTGTCAAAAAGAGTGCTACTATATAAAAATGAGTATGCTTGCATGTACCAGTACATGTAGCTAAAATTTCAGTGTTGTTTACACTGCACATTATTGTGAGTTTTCTCATTCTTATTTCATGGAAATTCTGTTTTTACTTTCTTTGAAATGATTTCTTTATATAAACATGTATCTGCAAATTCTGCATCAAATATTCTACATTCATCCTTGTGTCTGTGGTCAGCTGTCCCCCTCTCTCACTCTCACTCTCTCTCTTTCTCTTTTCTCCTATATCTCCTGCATTTTTCCTGTAATGAATATACTGTGGTTTGATGAAAAAAATCAGTCTGAATTGTTGTAATCGGAACTAACAAAATTAAAGGGCAGTTGACCTGTCTTAGAAATAGAAAAATCTGAAAATTAAATGAGTAAGTAATAATGTTATTTGAATGTCAAAATCACCAATGCCATTGGGAATCTCAGATTGGATATGCAGTTATAATTACTCTTTATGATGGTAGGTACATCTTTAGCAGGTTGGCATGTCAAAATATTAGCGCTTAGAGACATATTTTGTGATAAGCGCTGTACAAATGTTGTTAATTATTATTATTATTATTATTAAATAGTGTGGCTTTGCATGTAGGTAACCTACTGTAGTATGTTAGAAAGTCAAATGAATGATTGCTCAAAGTAGGTACTTTTCTAGTTCACTGAGTTTTTTAATTCCCAGTACTGTAAATATTTCTTAAAATAGAAAATAATTGTTGCATCATGCCCATTTCTGGCAGTGAATGTTATATCATTGTTCATGCATTTTCATGCAAAATTTTTTTTTCTAGTTTTATTTATATTGAGTTTGTTGAGCAACAATCAAATGTGAAAGCTGTCCCCTTGTCATCTCTCAAATTAATATTACCTGTCCATGTACATGTATACTGTATAGGTTAACCTTCTACAGTTTATAGTGTGAGCACAATACATTTTTGAAAGTTTATGTATGTATCATATGTTATTATAAAACAGTTAAAGACTATTCAAATATTTTTTCCGGTTGGTGTTTGTTTAAATAGCAAACTATCATTATTTTCATGAAACGTGTGGATAGGTATCGTGAAGAAGGATAATTAGCTGCAACCTACCTCTTCTTTGCTGGTTTGAACTTAAAAGTAATTGAATGTCCTTTCATCTTTGATCTATGTTTAGTATATATTCCAACATTGATCTGTAAATGCATTGATTTTAATTCATGTTCAATTTTGTCTTGTTATTGAGACATCAATCAAAGATCTTTTTAAATTATGTCAAACATTCTAATCCTAACTGACAAGCTGTATCTAATCAGACATCAGGTACAGACAGGTATTATGTTTTAAAACATGAATGAAGTCCCATACAATGACTTTTCCGTGGGTGGGTGTGAATGTCTTTGATACACAATGAAAGATGTGACTTATCAACGAGACATTTCACTCCCAACATGTTTATAAACCACTCTCTGCCATTGTCAGGATGGCTGTTGTCTCATAAAAAGAGTTTTTTTCTTTTTTCGTCTGGGTTCCTTTCATCCATTTTTCATATTCTAGTTCAGTGCCCTTTGGGTGCTTCCTCCATGCTTTGTTCATGAAGTGTTTTGATGCCATAGGATTTGATTGGTTGACACAATGCAATACAAGTACAGTCAAATCAAGTAGAAATTCTGAAGTTTTGTGAGGAATCCTGAGCTCCGCACTCGGCGGAACAGAAGGTCCGTCCCGGGCATTTTTCAGACACGGCTCGTTCTATTTTTTTCCGTCTCCGTCCCTCCCTCCCTCCCTCCATGCAAGATCCAAAGTTGTTGGCAGGGGTGAGGCAGGGGTGGGAAATCTAGCTGGAATCATTGGATTTTTTTTCTTGTTTCTTTGGTTTTTGTGGTTGTATTGAGATGGTAGTTAATGGTATGCTGTCACGGGGTTGAATGAAGGGGCCAGAGGTAAAGGGTCCTCTCACAATAGAGAGGTGCAAGTATCAAGAGTTCGCCTACCTCGCGTACGGACCCCAGTGCCGAACGATATAATGGCATACTGTGATTTGGCTTGGGCTCACACCGAGTGAGCCCGAAGGTTGGATTACTGCTATTGGTTAATCTAGGAACCACTAATGTGCTAATTCAATCGTTTTCCTCTTTCTTTCTTGCCTTTTATCCCCCTACCATTCTTCTCACGTCACACCGCCGTGATTGACACCCCGTACTCCATTCTTGCGCCTCAAATTCACGCCACGATGATTCCTGTTCCTCTTTAGGCAAACCTTAATTGGATTAAGTCACAAAGAAGAGGAAGTTTTTCTTTCCTTTTCATAAACCAGAGTCGCGCAGAAACCGGGCTTTTCTTCTCTCACTGCATCCGCGGAGGAGGCACTCCCTTGTTTCCTAGATTTCAAAAGCGTCACGCTCCCAATTTGTCAGTCGATGTTTTACACGAATGTCCCGTGTTTGTGCAACATGTCGAGCAGTGGCCCCTCCAACCAGATGGTTAACACTTAAAACATGTTTTGGGGCAGTATATATTTCAGCAGACACATCGAGCTCTCCTTCCATCAACAACAAATCCCAATCACACTTCTCCTCCTCATGTTTAATTCATAGCAAGCCTTCATCCGATACATCATCATTTGGTTTGGGTTGATGGTGACCTCACGTGGGTCGCGAGGTGCCTAATTACTCCAAATTACACTGATTGCTTCAGAAGTGGTCTCCTCAGTAGCTAACAAACTGACGGTCTCTGGATAGCTCGATGGTGAAGGATAATAAGCCTAAGTAGTGTGTCCACCAGAATAACTGTTCTCCTCGGAGAACACTACTGTAACAAACAAAATAAGAGTTAGTACAGAGAGTTGAGAATATTGATCAAATATCAGATGAAGCAAAGTTTATTTGTATTTTTTACAAAATTACAATGCACAATTATGCCTGATACAAAATATATCATATAATTCTACAGATAACTCCTGAATTTTAGTTTTAGACTTATTGAATTATTCTTTGAAATTCTCAAGTTAGTCCCAGGTTAGTTATTTTTTTGGTGAAGAATAGTTCACCAAAGATTATGCTGCAATGAGAGAGAAAAGGGGGGGGGGGGGTTGAGAAAGCTAAGGGGAGGGGAGATAGTGGCATAGGAAGAAAAAAAAAGAAGGGAAGTTGTTTTTTGCATAGATATGTAGAGAGTGGATAGTAGAGAGATTGATACAGGTAAAGAACAGTGTATCCATCACCAATTACATGTCAGAATATAAGCTTTTCCTGTAAAAAGAAAGAAATCCAGGTATCACATTTTAGAGGAAACAGATGCCTGGAGGTAATGACGGATAGACACACCTCAAAACAAAAGGTGGTAGCATTTTTGCCCCAATCCTGGATGATCTAAGCTTTTCAGAAGCTCCTCACTCACTGAGCTTTGCAAACATGGAGCCATGGATCTCTACCACACCTGTACAGTAGGGGCTTAAGTGGCCGCTGATAGATGGTTGGACACCTTTATCTGAGGGCTTGCCTCCGCCACTCAGTGGATAGAGGTCTGTCATCATCTGTGTCAAATCATGAAAGGAAAGTCACATTTAGACAACAAAGCATCTCATTCATTAATCAGAAGTCAGATTATTAGTTATCTCGTTTTCATTTTCCTTTATTCAAGTTTTTTTTCTTCTTCCAGAGGTGTGCCATTCCTCTTGGTAACATCATGGACCTAGTCTGGGAATTCCAATAGTGACTTCTTTCTTTCTTTCATTCAAAGTCTTTGAGTTCAGAGAAGATATCCTCCTGTTTGCCTAGATCTGTATCCCTTATGGCTCCAATAGTCTGTATTCTCAGCTCCATTTTAGTTGCGTTTTTTTCCTAAAAGTTTGTGCCCAGATTTAATGAATCACAACGCTGCAGTTTTTATGTTTGCATACGTTTCTTGACGTGGAAACAGTGGCTTGAATTGAGTAGATTAGAGTTCATAAAAAGATGTCATGAAATTTGT